TATGTATGTATGTAGTATGTATGTGTGTGCATGCATGTATGCATGTATGCATGTATGCACGTGCATGTATGCATGCATGCATGCATGCATGTATGTATGTATGTATGTGTATATAGATTTATATGTATATGCATGTATTTGCTTCGATGAGTTCATAGGTAGGCTATAGGGTGGGTCCTCATGTTTGTTTGTGTTTGTTGTGCTTGCTTGCTTGCTTGCTTGCTTGCTTGCTTGGGTGGGTGGGTGGGAGGATGGGTGGGTGGGTGGGTGGGTGGGTGGGTGGGTGGGTGCTTGTGCTTGTGTTTGTTTGTCGGTTTGTACTGAGTGACTGAGTGAGTGAGTGAGCGACTGAGCGACTGGGTGACTGAGGGAATGAGGGAGTGCACGAGTGAGTGAATCAGTGAGTGCGTGCGTGCAAGGGTGGATGGGTGGGTGAGTGGGCGAGTGGGTGAACGCGCGCGGGCGTGTGTGTGTGTGTGTCTATGTGTTTGCTTCTGTTCGTTGGTTTTACTGTGTTGCAGTTGTTTGTTTGTCACCTTGTGTTTCGCGTTTCCACGGAATTGTTGCGCAAGCCTCAGCCAGGAAGGTTCGACGACCATGTCCTACCACTTCGGCAACCGAGGAGGTCTGATCGTTGACTTTGCCGAAACCTCGCACCCCGGCAGAAATCTGCAAGCAGCTCCCACCGCATTACCCAATTACCCAACAACCCATATTATCAGTATTGTGACTTCCCTGCCTCCTCTCCCCACTTACATGCGAGTCATAAGCAGTGCACCGTCTCGATCAATCCCGACCACAGCCCTGGCGGAGCCATGAGCTTGTACGGTGTGTTGTTTCCGTGTGTAGAGTCTGGAGGTACAGGGTGAAGGTACTTTACATCGGTGCTTGTAGGGGGTTATAAGGACTATAGGGCCCAGGGGCGGACAGAGCAAGACAACACAAGAAGAAATCTGCTGGCTCTGCACAGGGCTCTTCCAAAGAAGCCCAGGTCGGCGGTGGTTGCGAAGGCGACTGCACCGGCGAGTTTGCGGCTTCCTCCGAAAACAAAAAGAATAGCCCAGGGGTCAGCATTTCTAGGCTCGACAAACGATAGGAGACAGTAACTCGAAAACTCGCTTCAGGGGACAGCGCTTCGATTTGGCGGGAACTTACACACTGCGCCTACTAGAACGACAAGAATGTAGCGTGCAAGGATCGGTTTCTTCACATAAATCGCCAATCCCCTAGAACACAGGCGATAAAGCCTTTGCAATCCAGTAAAGCAAGCATGGCAAGGGTCCTGCTGCAGGGCCTTTGTGTAATTTTTCTGTAGGAATCCTCTCAAAAGCATTGTGCTTCTCAGGTTGTGTTCGGCTTGCCTCGACGTGTACCCCAGTCTGGAGTTCGGTGTATTGTGTTCTTGGGGCCGGGACGGTTTGGAAGTATTTCTAAGAGTGGGTGGACTCTTGCAGCGTGATGGAGTGAGTGCATTTTGTGCACTTCTACTCGCCGAATCTTCCACATCCGCATCGGAGGCACTTGCAAAAAAAGCCTCAAGAATGCGCCACCTGGGGTCAGACGATGAAGCTCCCCAAAGTCCCAAGGCCCAAGGCTCGGAAATGACGATGGGGCTTTGGCGCTGAAACCGAGAGCCTTCCTTTGCGGCGTGGAGGCGATGCCTCAGCGTTTTCCCGGCCTGCGGAGCTCCTGTGGAGAACCTTCCAAGCCTTACCCATCAGCTCTTCGAGTCTCCGAAGCCCAGGACTTCCTCAAAGCAGAAGCAAGCGGGGCTTCGCTAGCCTACGCAGCTTAGGTGGCTGCACCTCATATTTATGGCCATTGGGTGGGGAGCTCTTCTACCATGGGGCGTGCCATGGCCTTTCATTGTGCATCGCAAGTACCAGCCGAAATTGTTCGAGTCGGGTTTGAGTTGTTTTTACTCCGAATTTTGAGGAGACCCCTGAGTAATTGTAGGGTTTAGTGGTTCGGGGTCTGCGGGTCTGAAGATCTTTGCAGACTCGAAATAAATTTGAGCTTCGGATTTAGGTTTTGTGGTTCATGTGCCCTCAGAGAAAACTGGCATCAAGCTGACTGAACCCTGAAGCCTAAACACTAAACCAGCCTGAAGGGATGGATCCTTGCCTGCCTGGTGCGAGTGCGAGAGTCGAAACCAGCCTCCAAACTCGCTTAGGTCGCGCTGGCCAACCGCACCCGGAATGTGACCGGGGCACCTCCGGGCAGCTGGTTCAAGCTGCACAAGAGAATACAGGCAAGGTGAACAGCAGCCAAGCCCTGACGGCAGTGAAGTTGTTTGAGTTATAGCAACAGCATCGCTCTGGCAGCGTTACAGTGTGTTCACGCTTGGTCGGAGCGCGAGTCAAATTATTTACCGCGCGTTCGACCGTGCCAACAGTCATTTGTCAGGTGGTCGGCTGGGCAGTGCAGCTAGTCGGCTTCTGCATGGCCGTGTGGTATGTGCAGGCCCGCTCGTACCCGTCATGGCACTTGGCAGGTAGCAATGCCTAGCCACGGTACCACTGTGCTAAGGCCTTGCAGTTTACGAGCGCACATCACGTGATCGGCTTCGTCGCAGTGGTCCTCGGCGCCCGAACTTGCAAATCAAGGAGTCATGCAGTGATGCAAAGCTTTTCACCTGGCTCGAGTTAGCATGAAGCGACAATATCTCATTCAGAGTCATGCCCTGCAGACTCCCATGAGATGTATGACGCTGTGGTCTTCCTGGCAGAAGTCCCGAGGACGTACGTCCGATAGTAGATGAGGTTTCACTGTTCAGAGGGTTTAGTGACTGGCGACCCCAGACTTGTGGCGGCAGGGTTGCAAGCGCAACGCTGCTCACATTGATCATGCAGCTCCACATTCCGGGGACCTGACCATCTATTTCTGATCCCGAAGTCCTGTAGCAATGGAGCCCTCAAGCCTTCGGACGTTTTCCCTCCTTCTGGTGATGTTGATGGTGCACGTCGAAGCTTGGAACGCCGAGCCCTGAATCCCCCCCGAGCCAGCTCGAGAAGCGTGTCAACCCCGTAACCGTCATAGCAACTCTCGTAATCTCTAACCGTAACCCCATAGTTTAGAGTTCAGAGAACTGACTCAGGCACCATGCAGCCCTTCAACGCCATCCTCAGAAAACTCTGCGCCCACCCGCACCCTGGTGACAGCAAGACCGCCGGCCGCCTCCTCTTCGAAATCGTCCACAAAGGTTCGGGGCTCGGTCAAAGGTTTGGGGATCCCAGGCCGGTTGAGCTCCTGCAGATGTCCACGGCTTTCAGGAATCGGGTGTCGATGTCGTATCCCTGCGTCGCACAGTCTGCGGCCACGCTATAACTGAATAGAGACATGAACATTAGAAGAGCAAGTGTGTAGCTGCTTATGTCTATTTTCTATATAAAATGTATGTATGCATGCATGTATGTATGTATGTACGTACGTACGTATGTATGTATGTATGTATGTATGTATACATATAAATATATATATATATACACATGCACACACACACGCACATATATATATATATATGTATATATGTATGTATGTATGTATGTATGTATGTCTGTCTGTATGTATGTATGTATGTATGTATGTATGAATGTATGTATGTATGTATATACG